TGTTCAATAGTTTAAAACGAAACAAATCATTAATTTTAAAAATGTGTAACAATAATGCTAACAAATTATTGTTGTTATGGATTAATGTCAAGGATTAAAAGACATTTTTTTGGGACAACATTCAATTAATCAAACTCAACTTTATTATCTGTTTTTTAGATTAGCAAATGGTTTTAAAAAAAAATCACAAATTTAAAAAAATCTTAAAAATATCCCTATTTTAATATTAGGGAGTCTTTGAAACAATTATCTTCAAAAATCCGCGGAAAAATTATCTTTGGATGTAATCCAAAAATCACTATAAAATTTCAAAGTGGTGCGAAATCTGAAACTATATGGGTACCTTTGTAACGAATTTAGAAAATGTTGCTAAATTTTTCAGAAATAAACTATGCTTTTAATACCCTCAGCCATATGACTAGAGAGGTTAATTTGATCCGGACAACCGACATAGCGGTTTAAGACCCTAGGTCTCTTTTGACCGAATACGTTTCAGGACATTTGGCGTTGATATAGCGATGTCCGTCCATCTGTTTGTCTGGAAGGGAATATCCGATTTGGTCCAAGCTTGGTACATCGTAATATTATTATCAAACAGAGATCCAGTTCGGGTATGGGCAGTATTGGTCCGCTCCTTCAAAACAAAAGGTCGAAATTTTCCAAAAAAAAAAAAATATATATATATAAATATTTAACTGCACAGAAGGAGAAACCATTTTGCTCAAACTTTGCAAATCCTAATACTTGCATCAGTGCCAGGTCAGGTGCGAACATGGATAATATTGGTCAACTCCATCAAGTACCTCTACCACAAAGGGTTAACATTTTAAATAATTATAACTCTTATAAAATGTGATGGAAATGTCCGATTGTCTTCAAATAACACACACCACAATATTTTTATTAACCCAAGGCCTGGTGTGAAGATGAAATATATCGGTCCACTTTTTCTGGTACTTCCCCCACAAAGGGTCAAAATTTTGAATATCCATGAAGCTCATAAACGATTCCATTTAGACTTGGTACATCTCAATATTCCTATCAACGCAAGATATGTTATAAAGATAGTAGAATCGGACCGTACCTCCCCCACAAATGTTCAAAGTTTTGAATAACCAAAACGATTATAAAATCCGAAAAAAGCATCCGATTCTCTTCATATTTCACACATCTCATTATTTTTACTTACAAAAAGATCTGGATGGGATGTATCGTTCCACTCCTCCTGGTACCTCCCCCGCAAAAGGGTCAAAATTTTAAATATCCATTGAGCTTATAAAACGCGAAATTAACATCCTTAATACATCTCATCCACAAAGGGTCGCAATTTCCAATACTTATATCAATTTGTCCAGCATAAAAGGAAGTAGCAAGAATTCGCAAACTCTCAATGAAAGAGCGATCAACATTTTTCTCTTGAATTACTCTCTTTTGGAGAAATTTTTTGTTAACAGACACAAATAGATTCTATGGCGATTTTTTTCACTGGTGATATGCTATATCTAAATATATCACTTAACCAGAAATCTGATACGAATATGTAATTTATCAAAATTTATGATTTCGCATAAAATTGGATATAAATGTGCGATTTCCTTTAAAATTTCCCAAATTTTACCAATACTAATATTTATATCTGTATTAGAGGAAGTATAAAAATGGAATACTTCGGTCGACTATATTTGTTACCTCACGCATAATTGCATATTTTCCAAAAATTTACACATATTTCATATAAAGTATACAAAGTAGTCGATATAGTCCAAATCAGGCACGTTGTTATATTTATATCAGTCTTAGGTCAGAAACGAATTGGTCAGCTTCGTAACTTCGGAACCGCTCCCATAAAGGGTCAACAGTTTCAAGAATTATAACTCAAGGCTGGAAGTATACATTTGTCGGTAAAACCGACGGATACTATTTTACTTGTTTATCCGAGCCATCAGAAAATAAGTTTTAAAAATTTTCCAGAGCCCCGCAAAAAAATTTGAAATCAAGGTTCAGCAGAATTTTTAACGGATATTTTCTAAAATATCCACTTTTATCAGAGTTTTTTTTTTAAATATCACGTTTATCAGTGCCTTGTTAAAAATTATTTTTAAGAGGTCCACGATTAATAGAGCCTTGGAAAAAATACTTTTCTGAAAACCCAATATCCATGACTACTAATCAGAGCTTATGAAAATTATGTAAAAACCCATTATTATGTCTCTGGAAGACCTTGAGAAAAATATTTAAAAATGTTGCAGTTGCCAAGTACGCACAACTATTTAAATGTGCCACACGTTTCAAAATCTAAATTGGAAAATAATTTGCAAAAATAATTATGCGTGACAAATAAAATTACACAATTTCAAATTACATTCTATAGGCTATGCATGTTGCATATAAATTACTCTGTTTCATGGGAATGTTCTCTGATCTATACAAAGAGAAACGGGAATGAGATTGGATATTATCAACGAAATAGAATGTGATTTTTATGTTTTCTTGAAAATGGTCTCAAAGGGGAGATCAAGGTGCCGACATTACTTTTTTCTGCGACTTCATATATGAAATATATTTAAAGGTAAGAATTTTCCATTTTTGGTGAGAATTTTCCAGAAAAAAAGATATCCGTCATGGAATTCAAGCGGGATAGTTTCATTTCTTTATATTTGGCTGGAAAACCACAAGTGGCTATCCTTAGAGCACTCCAGCATTTAAATGTGAATAAATCTTTTTTGTCTCGTACCATCTCGTTCGTTAGCTCGTTACTGATACTGGTAGCGTAGTCCGACGTCAAGGAAGTGCGCGGAAGAAAATAGCAGCACCAGCAGGAATAATTCAAAAAGTAAGGAAGCGACTTGATCGAAACCCGAGTCACAGTGGCCGAAAAATGGCTCGTGAGTTGAAAATATTGTAATATTCCATTCGGCAAATATTGAAGAATGAGCTCGGGGTAAAGCCTTTGAAATTCCAAAAAGTGCAAAAACTTACACCGCAACAGAAAAAAATAGACACAAAAGACCTAAAGAGTGGCTTCGCTTGGCCGAAAGTGGTGAACTGCCGAATTTGGTTTTCTCCGATGAGGAAACATTCGTTGTCCAGTAGTTTGTAAACAAAAAAAAAATGATCGTGTCGTACTTGCCAAAGAGGTCAGCTGAAAATGTGCACCTTCGGTTGGCCACCAGAACTCAAGCACCGGCCATGGTGATGGTGTGGACCGCCATAACAGCCGATGGTCGCTCTCCTCTCGTATTAATCGACCGTGGCATCAGAATAAATGCCGAATGTTATCGCGAAAATATTCCGGAGGGACTATAAAAGCCTTGGGCACGCAAACATTTTGGCCGCAGACCTTAACATTCCAACAGGACTCAGCACCATCGCACTCAGCATGCACCACCTAAGAATGGTTACAAAATGAGGTTCCTCACTGTATTTCCAGCGCACAATGGCCACCAAAATCTCCGGATACCAATCCGTTGGACTATTGTGTCTTGAGTATTTTGGAAAGCAAGGTTGGCACTAAAAAATACCAAAGTGTCGATCACCTAAAGCACACGTTTCGGCTGGAATGGGCCAAAATACCGCAGATCAACATTCGGGCAGCGTGTGACGGTTTCATTGGCCGTTTGAAGGCCATAATTCGTGCCAAAGGTGACCAATTCGAACAAATCTTAACTTATTCCAAAATTTGATGCTACCTCCGACATTTTTTACTTTCATTCAATAAAATTTAAAAAAAAAAATGTAAAAATTATGGCGTTGGACTTTGTTGCAGATTTTTTATCTCACCCTGTATTATGGCGATTTTTTTTCACTAGTGATATTATTTTCAATTATGTTACCTTCCCATCTCTCCACCCTAATGTCCACACTCCTATAAATAGAATGCAACGGTTAAAAAAGTTAACTAGTTTAACTCGATCGATTTCAATTAATTTTTATTTTTATATTTCATCTCCAGCCATTGGGGCATTGAATTGAAAACGAAGGAATCGAAATGAAAAACTCGGACACAGCAACTGACGTAGCGCCATGTCATCTCTTAATAAAAATAAATGGTCATTGCAAATGTGCGCTCTCTCTCGCGATCTCTCTCTCACACACACTCTCCCTCAGTTACTAGTTAATTTTATTTGTTCTAAGTTTTCGGATCGCAGATGGGGGATACACGGAAAAAATTACAAAAATGGAAAATAATTTTTAAATTCACATTTCCAAAAAATGTAAAAATTCAATTCAAAATATAACTTCAAAAAAAAAAAAAAAAACAGCTTGAAAGACAAACGCGTTCAGATTGCCTTTAAAAATATTAAAAAAAATCCCATTTGTTTATAAAATCTATGGTTTGAGAATCTCTGAAAATTATGAAATGAAAAATAAAAATTCAATTCAAAATTTAAATTCCAAAAAAAAAATTTAAAAAAATCCATTTCGAAAAAAATGTAAAAATTCAATTCAAAATATAACTTCAAAAAAACAGTTTGAAAGACAAACGCGTTGAGATTGCCTTTAAAAATATTAAAAAAAATCCTCTGAAAATTATGAAATGAAAATTAAAAATTCAATTTCAAAAAAAAATATATAAATTCAAATTCCAAAAAAAAATTGAAAACCCGCCTTCAGATTGTCTTTTGAAAAAAATCTTATATAAAATCCGAATGTTTTTATAAAATCCATGATTTGAGTGTCTCTGAAAAACAAATATGAAATAAACCATTATAAATTCGAATTACAAAATTTGCTGCAGTGCATGGAAATTTTGTATTCTCAATCGCTGTGTTTCCACAGCAAATGATAAAATTTTATTAAATTATTTGATGTGAGCAGAAAGAACGATGGAACGAAATATTAAATGATCGTCCGCCAAAGCAATCACTAAATGCTGAGAGTAATAAAGTGGATGCGGTGGAACCACCAGCATATTAGCTACAGCAATTGTGATGAGCGCGCACGTCAGAACGTGGCAATTGCTGGAACGACTGGTGGGTAATTTTCAAAAGATTGCAACGTGAAAACAATATTAATCACAATTTAGTTGGAAAATATTGGGGTTGGAAGGCGGTCGTTTCCGAAGAGTTGCAAAAGGAAATTTTGAAAAACAACACATTTTAAAAAATTTTAAGATTATTTAAAGAAGAGAAGAGTTCACGGAATGGCTTCCAAGGAGTGTTTGAAACTTATCTGTGATGGTATAAAAAATGAAAAATATTTGAAATTAAAAAAAAAAAAAAAATAAAAATTATGATATTTTAGGTGACATTGAAATTGTGCGAATTACCGAGGATTTGTACGATGGGACAATTGAGGTGGGTATTGAGGGAAATAGTTTGATGAAAGTGAAATTTGAAAAAGAAGAATTCTAGGCTCCTTCGATAAATGTGGATTTTTTAAAAATTATATTTTCCAAGGCTTCAATTAACGTGGACTTTCTTAAATTTTTTTTCCAAAAAAGTTTTTTTTTTCACGGCTTTGATAAACGTGGATTTTTTAAAAAATATTTTTCCAAGGCTTTGTTAAACGTGGATTTTTTAAAAATTATTTTTCCAAGGCTTTGATAAACGTGGATTTTTTAAAAATTATTTTTCCAAGGCTTTGATAAACGTGGATTTTTTTAAAATTATTTTTCCAAGGCTTTGATAAACGTGGATTTTTTAAAAAATTATTTTTCCTAGGCTTTGATAAACGTGGATTTTTTAAAATTTATTTTTTTAAGGCTTTGATAAACGTGAATTTTTTAAAAAATATTTTTACAAGGTTTTGATAAACATGGATTTTTTAAAAATTATTTTTACAAAGCTTCGATAAACGTGGATTTTTTAAAAACTATATTTTCCAAGGCTTCAATAAACGTGGATTTTTTAAAAATTATTTTTACAAGGCTTCGATATACGTGGATTTTTTAACAATTAATTTTTCCAAGGCTCCAATTAACGTGAATTTTTTAACAATTAATTTTTCCAAGGCTTCAATAAACGTGGATTTTTTAAAAATTATTTTTTCCAAGTCTCCGATAAACGTGGGTTTTTTTAAATTAATTCTTCCACAGCCCAACTAAACTTGGTTTTTTTTAAATAATTTTTCCCAAGACTCCGATAAACGTGGATTTTTTAAAAATGATTCTTTCCAATCTCAAATAAATGTGGATTTTTTAAAAATGATTCTTTCCAATCTCAAATAAATGTGGATTTTTTAAAAATGATCGAATAATTGTGGATTTTTTAAATTTTTTTTCAAGACTCCAATAAACGTGAATTTTTTAAAAATTATTTTTCCTGGACCCCAATAAGAGGATTTTTTAAAAATTATTTTTTCCGGGGCACGGATAAACGTAGATTTAAAAAAAAAATTCAAGGCTCAAATAAAAGTGGATTTTTTGAAAAATTATTTTTTCCGAGACACCGATAAACATGGAGATTTTTTAAAAATGATTTTTTCCAAGGCTCCAATAAACGTGGATTTTTTAATTTTCATTCGAAGGGACCGATATACTTGGATTTTTAAAATTGGTTTACCCCAAGACTCTGTTAAAGTTGGTTTTTTTTTAAATTACTTTTTCCAGTGCTCGAATAAACGTGGAAATTTTAAAAAAAAAATATTTTTTCCAAGGCTCCAATAAACGTGGATTTTTTAAAAAATATTTTTTTCAAGGATTTTTTAAAAATTATTTTTTCCGAGGCTCCCATAACGAGGGTTTTTTAAAAATTACATTTTCCAGGACTCCGATAAACGTGGATTTTTAAAAATTATCTTTTCCAAGACTGCGATAAACGTGGATTTTTTAAAAACTATTTTTTCCAAGACTCCGATAAACGTGTATTTTTTAAAAAATTATTTTTTCCAAGACTCCGATAAACGTGGATTTTTTAAAAATTATTTTTTCAAGGCTCCATTAAACCTGGATTTCTTAAAAAATATCTTTTTCAAGGCTCCGAAAAACGTGGATTTTTTAAATACAGTTTTCCAAGAATTTTTTAAAATTTATTTTTTCAAAAAACGTGGATTTTCTAAAAATATTTTTTTAAAAAAACGTGGATTTTCTAAAAAATATTTTTTTAAAAAACGTGGATTTTTAAAAAATTATTTTTTCAAAAAACGTGGATTTTTTAAAAATTATTTTTTCAAAAACGTGGATTTTTTAAAAATTATTCTTTCCAAAGCTCCAAAAAGTTTGGATTTTTTTAAGTTTTTTTTAAACAAGTGAATTTGTTAAAAAATAATTTTTCAAAATAAATAATTTTTTGTTTTTTTTTTCAAATAACGTGGGTTTAATTTTTTCCAAAAACGTGGTTTTTATAAAAACTATTTTTCTCAAGTCTCAATAACGTGAATTTAGAAAAAAATGCAAGTCTCAAAAAATGTGGATTTTAAAAAAAATTAAGTTTAAAAAAATCTGCATTTTTTAAAAAAAATCCAAGTCTCAAAAGATGTGGATGTTTTGAAAAATATCTTTCCAAGTCTTTAGTTACGTTTAAATTTAAAAAATAAAAATACCTTTTTCCAGCTTTACCAAAATTATTTCATGAAATATGAAAATGTTAGCATTGCCTGTGAGCTATTGGAATCCCCCGAAACCATTGCAGAGATGGAGAAATTAATCCGAGCCATACTCAAGGATAATATCTCCTTTGCGGCGCGAAATGTTAAGACCAAGCAGTTGGTGGGCATGTGTATCAATAAAATGGTGGTAAGTATTTGAATTTAAAGTCCACACTTAAAGTTAATCCAAAATTGAGTTTTTATTTACAGAACCCCTCTGCCAACATAACCCTCGACGAGGTTTTCGATTCCTTTAAAACCGAAAACATGAAAGCAGTTGGAAACTATCTACACTATGTGGAATATACCTATGATATAAGTAAGGAGTGGCAGATCGATTGTTGGATCGAATTATCATTTCTGGCAACACGAACGGAATATGGTCGGAGAGGTATTGCTTTGGCGCTCTCTGAATATCTCATGGAATATGCCAAGAAATTGAAAGATGGTCATGATGAGGAGGTTGGAAAGTTACCCGACCACATCAAGGATCAGAGACCTGGGGCCATAACAGCAGCATTCACGTCAAGATTTTCCCAGAAAATTGGAGAAAAATTACAATTTGAAACCCTGTTTGAGGTGGAGAATTCAGAGTTGTCATTTCGTGGCATAAGTTACGCGGCGAAAATTGATCCAATACACAAGTATTCGAGATTTGCTGCAAAGAAATTGTAAAATATGGAATTTTTAGTAGTAAATAAGGGATAATTGTAGGTGTATAGAAAATTAAAAAAATAATAATAATGGTTATTTTTTCCCATGGTTCCAATAAACGTGGATTTTTTAAAAAATTATTTTTTCCAAGACTCCAATGAACGTGGAGTAGTTAGTCTAACACTCAGATAAATTTAAAAAAATCAAGGCTCCGATAAACGTGAATTTTTTAAAAATTATTTTTTCCAGTGCTCCTATAAACGTTGATTTTTTTAATTGTTTTTCCAAAACTCCTATAAACGTGTTTTTTTAATTGTTTTTTTCCAAAACTCCTATAAACGTGAATTTTATCAAAAGTATTTTTTCCAAGGATTCAATAAATTCGGATTTTTTAAAAATTATTATTTCCAAGACTCCAATAAACGTGGAATTTTTAAAAAAAAAAATTTTCCAGGGCTCCGATAAACGTGGATTTTTTAAAAATTATTTTTTCCAGGGCTCCAATAAACATGGATTTTTTAAAAATTATTTTTCCCAAGACTCCAATAAACGTGGATTTTTTAAAAATTATTTTGTCAAGGCTCCAATAAACGTGGATTTTTTAAAATTATTTTGTCAAGGCTCCAATAAACGTGGATTTTTTAAAAATTATTTTTTTCCAAGACTCCGATAAACGTGGATTTTTTAAAAAATATTTTTTCCAAGACTCCAATAAACGTGGATTTTTTAAAAACTATTTTTTCCAAGACTCCAATAAACGTGAATTTTTTAAAAAATTATTTTTTCCAAGACTCCAATAAACGTGGATTTTTTAAAAATTATTTTTTCCAAGATTCCAATAAACGTGGATTTTTTAAAAATTATTTTTTCCAAGACTCCAATAAACGTGGATTTTTTAAAAATTATTTTTTCCAAGACTCCAATAAACGTGGATTTTTTAAAAATTATTTTTTCCAAGACTCCAATAAACGTGGATTTTTTAAAAATTATTTTTTCCAAGACTCCAATAAACGTGGATTTTTTAAAAATTATTTTTTCCAAGACTATAATAAACGTGGATTTTTTTAAAAATTATTTTTTCCAAATCTCCAATAATCGTGGATTTTTAAAAAATTATTTAGGGCTCCGATAAACGTGGATTTTTTAAAAATTATTTTTTCCAAGACTCCAATAAACGTGGATTTTTTAAAAATTATTTTTTCCAAGACTCCAATAAAGGTGTAGGTATAATAATAATATTTTTCCTAGGTTCCAATTCCAATTTTTAAAAAAATATTTTCTTCAAGACTCCACGTGAATTTTTTAAAAATTATTTTTTCCAAGACGCCAATGAACTTGGATTAGTTAAAAATCATTTTTTCAATAAACGTGGATTTTTTTAAAAATTATTTTTTCCGAGACTCCAATAAACGTGGATTTTTTAAAAATTATTTTTTCCAGGCTCCGAAAAACTTGGATTTTTCAAGAATTATTTTTTCCAGGCTCCGAAAAACTTGGATTTCTCAAGAATTATTTTTCTATGGCTCCAATAAACGTGGATTTTTTTAAAATTATTTTTTCCATGACTTCAATAAACGTGAATTTTTTAAAAAATATTTTTCCAGGGCTCCGATAAACGTGGTTTTTTTAAAAAAATATTTTTTCCAGGGCTCCGATACACGGGGATTTTTTAAAAATTATCTTTAAGATTCGGATTTTTTTAAATTTACATTTCCCTAGATTCCGATAAACGGGGATAAAAAATTATTTCTTCCAAGATTTAGATTTTTTAAAAATGATTTTTAAGATTCGGATTTTTTTTTTAAATTACTCTTCCCGATAAATGTGGATTTTTAAAAAAAATTATTTCCTCCAAGATTTGAATTTTTTAAAAAATTATTTTTAAGATTTTTATTATTATTTTTAAGATTTTTTTAATTTACTTTTCTCGAGACTTCGATAAACGTGGATTTTTAAAAAATGATTTATTAATTTATTTTCTTAAGACTTCCTTGGGTGTCAACGTGCATTATTTTTAAATATTTTAATCATATATTTTCAAAATAAATTAAAAATTATTTATTTTTTTCTCTAAAAATCCCAACAAAAAAAATACAAATCTACATAACTTTCTACACAAAAACAGAAAACAAAAACACAATTTTTGACCTCAAAACAAATACACCGCATGCGCACAATCCTTGTGTATCGGTCCAATGCGTTCACTAAACGATTTACCATTAAAATGGAACTTGGTATAGGGCACGGAATTCATGGACTTGAAACCCACAGCCTTGCCAACTTTCTGTGAATAGTTTGAAGTCCATAACACGGTAACGGCCTCGGGGCGGCGATGTCTCAGACTGGGATGTATAAACTCCAAACCCTTGCCATTTTTCAACTCCCTCGTCAAATCGATGGTATGTTGAGTCAATGCCTTGCCAATACCTTTGCAACCCCACTCGGGCAATGTGGCCAAGAACATTAGTTCGCAGGTACATTTGAAATTGAATTTATCGAAAACATCATATTCCGCATCGACATCGATCATAAAATCCATCAGCGATTGAGCCTGCGGGGAATGGGCTTTCTCTTTGCGGAACTTTAGGAAGAAGACATCATCACCGTTTTCGGGAATGAACTGAAAGAGGGGAAAAGAGAGAAATTTAAAAATCGGATTTGAAACAAAAACAAATTAAAAAGTTTCTGTCGGTCTTGCCGACAGATGTATACCCTCAGCCAATGCTCGATTTTTTAAATATATTTTGACTTGTGTTGTGATTATTCAAACTGTTGACCCTCCATGGAGTAGGTTCCGAAGGAATGAAATGAAATCTGAATGGAAACGCATGTTAATTTTACATTTTATGAGCTCCATGGCCCTTCAAAAATTTGACCCTTTGTGGCGGAGGTATCACAAGGAGTGGACCGATATATTCCATATTCACAGGAGATATTGTGGTAGTAAAAATAATGGGATGTGTGAAATATAAACAGAACCGGATGCTTATTTCGGATTTTATAATCGTTTTTGTTATTCAAAACTTTGACCCCCTGTGGGGGAGGTACCAGAAGGAATGGTCCGATATCTATCATATTTATAACAGATATTGTGTTGATGGAAATATTGAGATGTGTAAAGTCTCAATGGAATCGGATGTTAATTTTGCGTTTTATGGGCTTCATGGATATTCAAAATTTAGGCCCCTTGTGGGGTAGGTACCAGAAGGAATTGTCTATATCTACCATCTTCATAACATATGTTGTATTGATAGAAATATTGAGATGTACCAAGTCTGAATGGAATCGGATGTTAATTTCGCGTTTTATGAGCGTCACGTATATCTTATGCAGGCCTTGTATATCTGAAGGGATCTTCTAGATTTTTTTTAAATACCAGATGATCTTCTTCCTCTGGAAAATTCTTCTTATATATCTCCAATGTGTCTTGAGATTTTTGAGACTCGTTCAAAAATCTTACCTGAATTTTATTAAAAGCCACTGACACCGGTTTTCCACTAGCCTTTTCTATGGCCACCAATGACACGCCATCCTGGGCGGTTAATCTGCTTAATTCTCGCAACTCCTGGCGGGCTTGAACATTTTCTGGCAGATTAATTTCCGAACCAATGCTCACCGATTCGTACAAGAAGAATGAGCCATCCAAAACCTGCAAAGGAATAAATGGGAGGGTAATTAATTTTACAAGTCTTTAGCAAGTAATCTTGTTACTGAACCATAAAGCCGGAATCCATCTAAGCTAGGGTAGTATCATTGTCTATTGAAATGTGATATATCCAAATCTGAACCGATCTCGATAAAATTTGGCAAAGATATTTCTGAGCTGTATTTGATATATTTTCCTGAATATCGTTGTTACGGAGTGCATATTACGCCTGTGGTTAACAAATATAACAAATCGGATGAATAATATATATGGAAGCTATAGCTATATCTGAACCGATCTTCACCAAATTTGACATACTAGCTTCTAGACTCAATTCGGTCGTAAGTGCCAAATTCCATCCCATTTGGACAAATATTAGACGTTTGGTGCACAATAAAAGGTAAATCGGACGAAGTTATATATGGGAGCTATATCCAAATCTGAACCGATCTCGATAAAATTTAGCAAATGTATTTCTGAGCTGTATTTGATGTATTTCCCCAAATATTGTTGTTACAGAGTGCATATTACGGCTGCGGAGGACAAAAATAACAAATCAGATGAACAATATATATGGGAGCTATAGCTATATCTGAACCGATTTCGATCAAATTTGGCATATTTATTTTCAGGCCTAATTTGGTCGTATGTGCAAAATTCCATCCCATTTGGGCAAATATTAGACATATGGTGCACAATTAAAGGTAAATCGGACGAAGTTATATATGGGAGCTATATCCAAATCTGAACCGATCTCGATAAAATTTAGCAAATGTATTTCTGAGCTGTATTTGATATATTTCCCTGAATATCGTTGTTACGGAGTGCATATTACGGTTGTGGGTAACAAATACAACAAATCGGATGAACAATATATATGGAAGCTATAACTATATCTGAACCGATCTTCACCAAATTTGGTATACTACCTTCTAGACTCAATTCGGTCGTCAGAGCCAAATTCCATCCCATTTGGGCAAATATTAGACGTTTGGTGCACAATAAAAGGTAAATCGGACGAAGTTATATATGGGAGCTATATCCAAATCTGAACCGATCTCGATAGAATTTGGCAAAGATATTTCTGAACTATATTTGATATATTTCCCCAAATATTGTTGTTACAGAGTGCATATTACGGCTTCGGAGGACAAAAATGACAAATCGGATGAAAAATATATGTGGGAGCTATAGCTATATCTGATCCGATCTTCACCAAATTTTACATACTAGCTTCTAGACTCAATTCGGTCGCATGTGCCAAATTCCATCCCATTTGGACAAATATTAAACGTTTGGTGCACAATAAAAAGTAAATCGGACGAAGTTATATATGGGAGCTATATTCAAATCTGAACCGATCTCGATAAAATTTGGCAAAGATATTTCTGAGCTGCATTTGATATATTTCCACAAATATTGTTCTTACAGAGTGCATATTACGGCTGCAGAGGACAAAAATAACAAATCGTATGAACAATATATATATGGGAGCTATGGCTATATCTGAACTGATTTCGATCAAATTTGGCATACTTATTTTCAGGCCTAATTTGGTTGTATGTGCAAAATTCCATACTATTCCGGCTGATATTACACGTTTGGTGCACAATAAAAGGCAAATCGGACGAAGATATATGTGGGAGCTATATCCTAATTTTGACCTATTATCTCCAATTTCAATAGGGTTCGTCCTTGGGCCAAACAAATGTTGTTTGGAAAATTTCATCTCAATCGGATAATAAATGCGACCTGCATTTTGTTCACAAGAATACATGGACAGACGGTCGGACGGATGGACGGACAGACGGATTGACATGCATAAATCAATTTAGAAAGTGATTCTATGCAGATCATCAAAAGGAACTATGGGTCTATCTCGTTTCCTTTTGCCTGTTACAAACAAATGCACAAAGACATAATACCCTGACCACCTTGTGGTGTAGGGTATAAAAATTTAGCTTTTCAACTTCCAAAGTTTATATGAGTCTGCTGGATGTCTTGCGCGGGGATATCATATTCATAGTCTTATGGGTTTTTACTGTCAGAACTGCTATTGCAAAATCCTCCTTAATTTCTTTCACTCCTTCGAATTTACCCTTTTTCATTGTCTCCAGGTTATTGGTGCTTTTTATCTAGAGGTTCCTATGGATTTCAATTCTGCCCTGTTATGTTTTTTTTTATTTTTTTTTACACCATCGTATTTAGTCTCGTATGGTATTTTGTAAAACCTTTACTTCGATGAGGCACGTTTTTGGCCGAATAAACATAATTTCTCCTAGCAGCGTGTGTTTTATTTAACCTTGCACCTGAACGCTCTCTGGACTAGTATTTGCTATAAACGTTACTGCAATAAATTTTCTTTTATCTAAATGAAGCGACGAATGATATTCTAGGCACGAAATATATTTTTGCAATAATAAAGTTATTCGTTATGGTACAACACTATTGGAATTTGTTAATAAGTTTAGAACTTACTTTTAAATGCCTGAAGTTTTCATCGTGTCTTCTTCTGATCACCTAACTATTGGGGTACATATATTATGGAGGAGAGATATAATCTCCCCTTTAAGAGATGTATAAATAACAATATTCAATAAGTGCTTAGATAATCCCTCTTTGAAACCTTATATTTTTTTGTTTTGAAAAAGTTAAATATTAATAATTATTTCATTACTCACATCTAATGCCTCCTCCAACTTATCTTCGGTCAATGATCTTATTTCAATTAGACCTAAATAATAGATTAAAACATTTATTAGACTTGATTTTGCTTGATAGCATAATTTAATAGACACACCATTGCAGATAGTGCTCCAGAGACGTCCATTTGTTGCTTGCATTATTATTATCGACAAGTTATAAATCTTTAAACTATTTTTTAAAACTGAGAACAAAAATCAATACTCGTTCGTTAGTCTTCTTCTGTACGAAGATGATTTTAAAGCGTCTGCACTACCGTTAGTCCAGTTAGAGACTGATAAACAAAACAAAACGGCATGAAAACATTTTAAATTCTCTGTTTCCAGCCATAAAGGCGGAAAGAATGCCTAACACACATGTACACTAACACATTGAGAATTGTTGTGACGACGCTCATATACCCAATAGAAATTGTTTTTTTTTTTATGGAGTGAGAGGAGAAGGTGAGAGAGAACGTTAGAATGATGACGTTCCGGTTTAGATTTACTTCTCTGTTTTGTTTTTCTCTTTGAAAAAATGGCAAGAACTAATATGACATGTAATTCTAACCAAGTTAAAACCAGACTTAAATTATATTTTATTTATTTTAAAATGTTTTCTACAATATTTCAGAAATTTTCCTATGGGGTTTGAGAACATTTCCCCTAATTCATATCATATGTTCGCGTGTATTTGATAAGATGTAATCAACAAGAAAAAAAAAACATGATACTTTTATTGCCCAATAATCACTTGTATAATTTTTTATTTAATGTCCAGCTACATACAGTCACTCACAGCTCAAAATGTAAACAATATTCGGTCTGAAATAAATGTAGAATTTTTGCTAGCTGTACGCCCATATTTATGGAAGATCTAAAAAATATAAATCTGACAAATAAAAAATTGTAATTACATGAGAATACCTTGGTAGTTGTACCATGGTTTTCCCAAAGAGAGTTGTATTTTATTACTACATACATACACGGCCAATTAGTTTCCAAGTATACCATGGTAGAAGAATACATATAGTCGAACAATACAATGAACTGTCAAACCGATTTTGAAATTGAAAATGTTGAATGAAAAATGATTGAAATCTACAAAAATTACTGAAAAATCCATATCATAATTGAGTTTTACCCATGGCTCAATTAGGGTTGTCAATCAACTTCGTTTATTTTATTTTTTTTACTAAATTCTTATATTTACTTCTAAAATTTGCATTTATTTTGCAAATAAATTTGAAATAATTTCAAATCATTGTATTTTATTATAATTATTGTAAGGGCACCAACATAAAAAATTGTATTTAATGGGTAGATTTGTTCTACCTTCTGTAATTGTGCCATGGGTAAAACTGATAAACTAAGAACTATCATAACGTTTACACAAGGCAAAGTGTCTTTAATCACATACATACATACATACTGCAGAAATTGATTTCCTCATTGTCTACCTTTTTTCCATGGTAGAAATAAGCTTCCATTTGCTTACAATTTTTTAAAAAATTATTCATTTGACATCTTATTGTCAAAATATATGTTTGTAAATCAGAGATGGGAATCTTTTTTTCAGTGAAATTTGACAAGGTATATTAGAGAAAATGCAGAGATGAATATGCCTATTTGAAATCACTTTACCTTCTTAATTTTATTATTCTTTTTTTAAAGACAGCAAATACTAACAAATTCTGACTTTATAAATAAATTATGGAGAAAAAGAATTAGGCTGCAAATACATAAAGAACAGATTTGGCTGGCTTAAGTCATCGGCTTGCTTCGTATATGAACAAAGTAGTTTTAGGTTGACATAGTTCGATTTTGGCCATAGGCTCCTTTGTTCATTTCCGAAGAAGCCAGCCGATGACTTAAGCGAGCCAGATAAGCGCTTTATGTATTTCCACCCTTAATTAAAAAAACTCTCCATATCTGTAAAAGCCATATAAATATTTTCTTTCTGGCTTAAATCATCGGCTGGCTTTTTGAAAAAATAACAAAAATAAAAGAGAGTTGGACCAAAATCGAACTAAGTCAACCTAAAACTCCTTTGTACCCATGGTAGAAGAATACAGGTAGTCGCATCGACACAGCTGCTGGAAAAATGAACTGCAAATGGAAATTTTGAATGAAAAATTATTCAGTTTTGTAAAAATGGTTGAAAAATTCATATCGTTATACCTTCGATCTGTGTCATATAAGAAAGCATATGAATATCTAATTATATTTGAAAAACAAAAAAAAAATAAAAACATTTAGAAGTTATTTTCCGAAGAAGCCAGTCGATGACTTAAGTCAGTGAAAAAGCTTTTTATGTATTCTAACCTTTAAATCAGTCAGAAAAAGACTTTTATCATATTTTACTCATCTTTACTTTTTCTAATTTAAATTAGTAAAAAAACAGGTTCCCATCTTAAAAATTTACTACACCAACACTTTTTGCCTGATTTGAAATAAAACATTTTTTGTTTAAAATTATTACACAAGCTTTGAGTGACTGTACCATACTGTATCACAAATATACATATAAGCAATCGTTTTCCTAATTGAACAATACAATATTTAAAATTACAAACATCAATTGTTACAATATAAACATGCCTCTAATTACGATAATTTGTAATTTATGTTATTATCTAATTTAACTGCATCCGATATAAATAATGTGAAATCTTAAAAAAAAACATGTGCAAAAATTGGGTGTTGGATTGAGGGTAATAAGTTTAAAAGTTAATTGACATATATGTATGTATCTTGACACACGATATTCTCAAACTGGACCTTAAAATAAATCTATCGTAACATCCATGGTCATGAAACTTGTTTCTTATATAATTGGGAATCTGGAATATTTGGTAAGAGTCCCAGGGTTTTTTAAACCAAATCCTAGATAAATTCTCTGTAATTCTATTATCGTAGCCAGGGCGAAACAATATTGTATTAAGGAATTTGGATTTGTTTCGTGTGTACAGCTTAAGCACAGATACAATGTTCCGTTTGACGTGAAAAATACAACACTGTTGCCACTTGTATTTTCATCCCTGTGGGAAAAATAGGTTATGTGTCGCCATGTCACCACAGTTGTCACTATTGATCCCTTAGATCAATGTTTGGGAACATTGATATGTCAAAAATTCATGGTATAAGAATATAGGTAGACGCGTCGACACAGCTGCTTGGACAATGAACTGTCAAACCAATTTTGGAATTGAAAATGTTGAATGAAAAATTATTTAAATTTGTAAAAATTTTTGAAAAACGGGAATTATAATAGCCTCCGAATGACGTAGTATATGAAAGTATATGAAAATCTACTTATATTTGAAAAACATTTAAATTTTTTTGACATATCAATGCTCTCAAGCGTTGATGCATCTACCTGTATTCTTCTGTCATGTCAAAAATTTTAAAATGTATTGACAAAAATTAGTAGTTTTTTATAGGTTTTCTTATACGACAAAAATCGTGGGTTGTACTGACATTCATTTTTCAACAATTTTTACACATTCCAATAGATGTTCATTTAAAAATCTCAATTCCAAAATTGGTTTGACAGTTCATTGTTCCAACAGTTGTATCGATGCAACTACCTGTACCGTGGGTCATTGTCAACACTTTTTCTACAAGCTTAATTTTTCTTCCAATAAGAAGAACATAATTTGTACAAAATGTATAGTTAAGGTACACACCATGGTAGAACTAAGAAGATAAGGTCCTATAATCATATGTTTACAATTTTTTCAAATGTATACAGAAGAATATAGTTAGCGCTTCGACGCAGCTGCTGGGACAATGAACTGTCAAACCAATTTTGGAATTGAAAATGTTGAATGAAAAATTATTTAAATTTGTAAAAATTGTTGAAAAATGCATATCTTTACAACTCACGATTTGTGTCGTATAAGAAAATATATAAAAAACTACTCATATTTAAAAAGAAATTTAAAAATTTTTGACATATCATTGCTCCCAAACGTTGATGCATCTACCTGTATTTTTCTACCATGTGTATACATTTGACAACATCTCATTGTCAAAATCTGTATTCATAAGTCTATTGTATTCACACTGTTTTTATGTTTTAAATTTTGTCAAGGTTAACTTTATTTCATTGTACCAATATTTATTGAATTGAAAAGAATACACACACATAAAGAAAGAATATAAAAAACTAAAATTAGAATTTAAATAGCCCTCACCATGGTATAACAGTTAACAGGAAGTCGCAGCTGATTTTACTCTATAGTAATACCAGTGTCAAACTCAATATGACGTTTTGCGATTTAATTCCATTCCACACAATAGGTATACCCCTTTTTGATATAAAAATTCACTGCAGGGCAATGTGAACATATTTTTTGCCTAACAATAGAAAAAATCGCCGTACTTAACAAAACACTAAAGGTGATGGTTCGGAAACTTTTTTTGCATTTAAGGAAAAGCGCCACTACGTTAGCTAATATATTCGTATATTTCATGTTTCCTAAAATTGCAAAATGTACAATACTTTATGTATGTATGCTGTTTGGTTCCAACTTGAAAGGGATGTCGCCTTTTCCACGATTTTCTAGCGATTGCTTGAAGTGTTGATAGATTAGGACCAACAGCTAACAGCTATACATTCAGGGCATTGATGTGAAAGCAATAAAATTAAATATTTTAAGAACTATTCTTCTGCATTTTCAATTTAATAATCCAAATTCCAAGAATGAATTTTTTTGAAATTTAAATCATTTATTGAAAATTAATTATTTTGTTTACATTTTTGGACACATATCTCTGACACTTGTATTACGTACAAAAAACAAATTTGTATGTGGTTGTAACTTGCTGTTACCTGAATTATTCTACCATGGGTACACACCTATAGCCGTTAAAATGTGTGTTGCTATCGATTCAAAGTGAATGAAAATATTTTCAGTCAAGAAGCAGTCAATTTCTGCGAAGTTTTTTTTTTTTGTTTTTTTTTTTTTGTTTTTTTTTTTTTTTTGAAAAAAAAAATACTGCCAGGTTCAATTGATAATTGTTTAACTTATATAGATTTATAATAGTTAAAAAATACTTTAATAATAACTTAAAAAACTTTAATTCATGTTAACCATTCAAAAGAATGGCGAGATATTTTTCGATCTACTAGAACCCTAACGACCAATCGTTGCTTTTGTTTTGATTTTTATGTTTATTGCGCATCTGTGCTTTGTTCTTGTTTCTTCCACCTATTGTTATTGTGCGGTGACGGATGTTTTATTAAGTTCTTACAACAAAAACAAATATTCAAGTAAAGAAAAGAACAACGAAGGTCAATTAATAAATACTTGGCAATTTTACATATATTACAAGATATTAATGATTATTGGCCTTTAATAAATCAGTAATCGATTACAACAATACGTCCAAATTAATCAAGTTACTATGACGACAACATAACAAGGCATTTGCTAGGATATCACAGAGGAAGTAGGTAGGTGGTGGTTGTTTTTTTTTTTTCACTTACCCTTCAGTTTACAAAACATTTCATCAGCTGCTGCTACTTTCCTTTCATTGCAGACCAAAAAGAACACGTCATTACTACATAAAACGCAATAACATTCTCCAAAGGATTGGAAGGACTCGAAAAAAGCTCAATTCAAACTATCCATCATGTTCATTTTGGATAAAATTCTGCCATATATATTCGTTTATATACGTCCATTTATAAAATGGTTCCTACACACCTTTACACGTCTAAGTGAGCTGCAAAGGATTTGCTATGGTGCCCGTTCAGGGGCCAGCCGTACCCGCCAGGTGGAACGTTCTTTGTACTTGTCGAAAAAGCCCGAAATAAAACATTTGTTAAGGGAAATGGATGAGGCTGCCGAATATTGCAGCCACGAGGAATTAATGCAATTCCCCGTCAAGGCGGTGGCCGTTGTGCAACGCGTGAAACGCATAAAGCCAAGGATACATCCAGGTAGGTGTTGTAAGATTTTAATATTGGCAATATAATTCGGAAAACTTCTTTTGTAGATCTCGTATGTGTGAAGAAAGACAATGGAGATTAAACATTGTTTGGAAATTTAATTTTAATTTAATTTAAATCTGAAAGTAGTGGGTCCTATAATTCTTCATTTGAAATGTATGAAGATATATGTGACTCAATTAAAAGGCGCTCTTGGTCATCGATTTCGTGGGAAGACCTATGGTCATATAAGGGCTGTTTTGGAATACCTTCTAGTCTCTATCATAATACCTTGTAGTATTCCAGTGTGCTTTCATACAAAACGTCCTTGTGGTTTTCTTTACAAAGGACCTTTCTCTTTCTCTCTTTGAAGGACATAAACAGCCGTTATTGTCAGAAGAAATTCTTCTTAAGAAGAAGGCCTTACAGCTAGTACTCTATATAAAAAGTCCTTATGCTCTTCTTTATAAGATCTTTAGGTCTTCTTCACAAGAATACATCAAGAAGTTCTTTATTAAAAAACCATAAAGAACAAAACCAAAAAGGTCTTGTGTCTTGTAAATAGCTGTTATTTTTAGAAGAAAATTTTCTTAATAGGAAGGCCTTAAAGCCAGTCCTCTTTATATAAAGACCTTATGCTCTTCTTTATAAGTTCTTTAGGTCTACTTCAGAAGCTTTTTTTATAAAAAAGGCTGAGACTTCCTTATAAAAAGATCCAAGTGTATCCTAAATAATAAAACCCTATGAGAACACATTGTGGTCTTCTTTACAGTCGTATAGAAGAGACCTCTTGGCGTTCTTAAAAAAGAGATGATATGAGATCTTATGTTATTCTAAAAAAATAACTTATGCCATTTGCTTCTATGAAAGAGAGACCTATGGTCACATGTTAAATTGCCTTAAGGAAGATATTATGGAAGGACTTAACAATTCCCTCCTGGTCTTCTTGGATTTTATTGGACAATCTTCTGTACATCTATGAGAAGAAGTCCATATCAAAAGGCCCTGTATACTTGCCAAGGATCTGATGAAAGTGGATTTTTTAAACATTTTTCACCATTCAACAGATGTGGATTTTAAAAAAATCGATGTCATATCTTTGATATAAGTGGAGTTAAAAAAAACATTTGTTCGGAAGCTCAGAAAGACTTGAATTTTAAAAATCGCTTTGGAATCTCCGTATTCGTGTTTTTTAAAAATAAAATATTAAAGGCTCGGATTTAAAGAAACTTCTTTCCAGGGTCTGATAATCGTGACATTGAGAAGCGTATTTTTCCAAGCATTTTTAAGAATACATTTTCTAAAGGCTCTGTAACGTGGGCTTTAAAATCTATTTTTACAAGGTTTGAAGGATTTTTAGGAGTACAGGGTGAGATAAAAAAAAACTGCAACAAAGTCAAAAGCCATAATTTTACATTTTTTATTATTATTATTATTATTATTATTTTTTAATAAAAGCAAAAAATTGTCGGAAATATCATCAAATTTTAGAATATGTTTAGATTTGTTCGAATTGGTCACGTTTGGCACGAATTATGGCCTTCAAACGGCCAATGAAACCGTCACACGCTGCCCGAATGTTGCTCTGCGGTATTTTGGCACCTTTCCCGTCGAAGCGCTTGCTTGAGGTGATAGACACTTTAGTCTTTTTTAGTGCCAACCTTGCTTTCCAAAATACTCCAGACACAATAGTCCAACGGATTGGTATCCGAAGATTATGGTGGCCATTGTGCGGCCAAAATGTTTGCGTGCCCAAGGCTTTAATACACCTTCCAGAATATTTTCGCGATAATATTCGGCATTTATTCTGATGCCTAGGTCGATTAATAGGAGCGGAGAGCGACCGTCGGCTGTTATGGCGGCCCACACCATTACCATGGCCGACGCTTGAGTTCTTGTGGCCAACCGAAGGTGCACATTTTCAGCTGACCTCTTTGTTTACAAACTGCTGGACAACGAATGTTTTCTCATCGGAGAAAACCAAATTCTGCAGTTCACCACTTTCGGCCAAGCGAAGCAACTCTTTAGCTCTTTTGAGTCTATTTTCTTTCTGTTGCGGTATAAGTTCTTGCACTTTTTAGAATTTCAATGGCTTTACCCCGAGCTCATTTTTCAATATTTGCCGAATGCGATATGTTCAGCTCACGAGCCATTTTTCGGCCACTGCGACGTGGGTTTCGATCAAGTCGCTTCTTTACTTTTCGAACCATTTCTGCTGATGTTGCTGTTTTCTTCCGTCTACTTCCTTGACCCCGGGCTACGCTACCAGCCAGTGTCACGGTAACGAGCGATGGTACGAGACACATAAGATTTATTCACATTTAAATTCTGGAGTGCTCTAACGATAGCCACTTGTGGGTTTCCAGCCAATATAAAGAATTCCATGACGAATAACTTTTTTTCTAGAAAATTCTCACCAAATTCCTTTGTAGGCTTGTAAATAATATGAGATGTCACTGGAATAATTTTAACAGCTGTCAGACAAGTGGCTTAGAAATGACAGCAGTCTGAATTTTGTTGCAGTTTTTTCATCTCACCCTGTACTTGCTAAGTGTGGATTTTTTAAATCCAATAAACGTGAATTTAAAAAACCTTTAATCAAAAGCTCCGATTAACAAGGATTTTTAAAAATCATTTTTTCGAAAGCTCCCATAGACGTGGACTTAAAAAAAAACATTTTTAGACGTGAATTTTAAAAATCGCTTTCGAATCTCCGATACGTGGTTTTTGAAAATAAAATTTTCAAGTCTGGGATTTTAAGAAGCTTTTTTTCCAGGGACTAATAGTCGTGAATTTAAGAGGTATATTTTCCAAGCATTTTTAAAAATATGTTTTCTAAAGGCTCTGATGAAGGTGGACTTTGAAAATTATTTTTTTCAAGGCTCTAATTCAAGGATTTTTAAGAATACTTTTAAATTACAGTATTTACGTTTTTTTACTTGTTATAATTTTAGACTTTGCTGGTCTCTTCGGATCGTGTGTATTACATATCTGGAGCTATAAACACTTGATGCATGAGGTTGAAAGGTTACGCTCCGAAATGTATGATGCTGATAATTTGGAACATGAACAAAAGTTATTGGAATTGTGGAAACGTTTAATGCCTGATGAGGACCTGACAGGACGTATATCCAAACAATGGCAAGATATTGGATTTCAGGTAAATATCCAGATTTTAATTTTAAAGAAAAAATTAATTTTTTTTTCATTTCAGGGGGATGATCCCAAAACCGATTTCCGTGGCATGGGTATGCTGGGTCTGGAAAACCTGCTCTTTTTTGCCCGAGAATACAAGGAGGCAGCCCACCATGTCCTGTTGCATTCACGTCACCCCAAATTGGGTTACACTTTTGCCATTGTTGGCATTAATCTCACCGCCATGGCATATCGCCTACTCAAAAATGGTGATGCTAAGACACATTTCTATAATTTAGCCCAAGCCATAAAGCAGCCATGTTCCCTGACACATTTCCATAAATTCTATTGTTATTTACTCTTTGAATTCGATCGTTTTTGGTTGGAATCCGAGCCGACGAATATCATGGATTTCCGTGAAATCTATCAAAATTTTGAAATAACCATTATTGAAGCTTTGCAAAGGGACACAACGATTTTTAAGACAAATTTAGTTGTGGAAAATGTCTAGGAATAGTTAGCTCGAAATTACTTTTAGTTACTATTTTTTTGTTGTTGCACCAATTTGTTATTTTATAGGGAGAAAATTATTTATATTGTAATTTATATGTAGGCACACGAAAAATGTAAGTTTTTTTATTAATTAATAACAATTAGTGTATGTATTTTGTAAATCGAATAAATAAAATTTAAAAGTTCTTTTCAGGAGAACAGAAAAACAATTGATTTTTTATAATTTTGAGGGATTTTTTAAGAACAATCTTAAAAAGAGAACTTCAATGGTGTAAATCTAGCTTAACACTACTTTGTAAAAAATCTCTATACCTACTTAAAATGTTAATAAATGATGGATCCGAACAGCAGATATGGGACGTTAGGGTACTTTTGTGTTATTGTAAAATAAAATAGTTTAAATCTAATATAATAGTTCAATTTAAGTTCAATATTTATTTAATGCCAAAACTGTTTCCCTTTGGCCAGCACTTCCAAAATTCGTATGCATTTCTTAATTGCCCTCCACATTCTCCCCAACCTTTCTCACGTATTCTGTTACTAAGACTTTATTTATTTAAAATTAGAACACACACATCAATACTTTCTTTATTTGCAATTGCCCAAATGTTGTGGCATATCATCTTTCACTAAACAAACCAGCCAACCAACCAACCATTACTAAAAATGATGAGTCATTTCTTTAAACTTTAATTATTCAAACACATTCTCTTGTCTATCTTTCACTTTTATTTTTGGTCAAAACAAATGTTTGGCCAACATGAAGGTCATTCAACTACAATGTTCGTTTTTTACTTTTTTTTTTTTTTTGAAGCAAACCATATGCTGCTGTGAGTCATAGAGCAAGAGGGAAAAAGTTGGCAAACATTTGTGATAAAAATGATGAGAAGACGAAAAGGTATTTAAAAAATGAAACATAAATGTGTTATTTTTGTTAGAAGAGGAAGGAGGAGGAGGAAACAATTTTTATTCATAAAACAGGCAAACATTTTTAATGGCTTCAAGGTATTTTCGAATTGAGCCAGTTTTTCCCAGAACAATTCGATTTAGTGAGTTGGTCCCAAAGAAACATATATTCTCCTTTAAATTTTACTAAGGGTCACAGAACAAAAAAATTTGATTGAGGAAATATTTACCAGAAATATAGTCCAAATCTAATTTAATTCATAAATTAGCCAAACATTTTTTACTGCCGTTGGGGCATTTTGGTATTAAACCAGTTTTTCACCGAACAACTCGTTTTAAGGAGTTGGTCCCAAAGAAATAAATATTCTCCTCTAAATTTTATTAGGGGTCAGTGACCCCAAAACAATTTGATTGAAGAAATATTTTCCCGAAATAAAGTCCAAATCTAATTCCGTTCATAATTTAGTAAAAAAAATTACTGCTTTCAGGGTATTTTGGAATATGGCCAGTTTTTCAGCGAACAACTCGATTTAGCGAGTTGGTCCCAAGGAAACATATATTCTCCTCTAAATTTTATTAGGGGTCACCGAACAAAAGAATTTGATGGAGGAAATATTTAACAAAAATAAAGTCAAAATTAAATTTGTATCCTAAAATATACAAACATTTTTATAATTTGTTTCAAAGTGTTTCCTTATGGTACCGATTTGACCTTTAATATTCTGATTTAGGAAGGTAGTCCCGAAGGAAAACATTTTCCTAACTTAATTTTATTGAAGGTCTCCGTACAAGCAAATTTAATAAAAATAATATTTACCGAGAAAAAAAGTGCAATTAAATTGATTTTATAGATTATGCAGTTTTTTAAGTCAGCTCTTTCGAAATATGCCAAATGGAGAGCCATTCTCGGGTTGAAGGAAGTTGGACTCAAGGGAAAAAATATTCCCTACTAAATTTTAATAGGGGTCTATAAAGAATAGAATTAGATTGAAGAAATATTTACCCGAAATAAAGTCCAAATCTAATTCCGTTCATAATTTTAGAAAAAAAAATACTGCTTTCAGGGTATTTTCGAATTAAGCCAGTTTTTCACCGAACAACTCATTTCAGCGAGTTGGTCCCAAAGAAACATATATTCTCCTCTGAATTTTACTAGGGGTCACTGGACAAAAGAATTTGAAGGAGGAAATATTTAACAAAAATAAAGGCAAAATCAAATTTGTGTCCTAAACTATGCAAACATTTTTAAAACTGGTTTCATAGAGTTTCCTTTTTGTACCGATTTGACCTTTAATATTATGATTTAGGAAGGTAGACTCCAAGGAGAACATACTCCTTACTTAATTTTATTGAAGTCCTCCGAACAAGAAAATTTAATAGAATTAATATTTACTGAGAAAAAAGAGAAATTAAATTTGTTCCAAAAATTAAGCAATTTTTGTATTAACTTTTTCGAATTATGCCAATTTGACCCTATATACTCCCAGTAATGAAGTTGACCCCAAAGGAAAAAATATTTTCCATTGAATTTTATTGGGAGTCTCCTTACAAGAAAATTTCCCAGGACAAATATTTGCCATGATAATATTCATATTAAATTGCATATATATGCCTTTAACAACATTTTCTAAAGAAATTCTTAAGGGTTTTCTGAATTTTGCCTTTTTGACCCTCAAAACTTCTATGTGGGCAGATGGTCTCAAAGGAACACATATTCCTGACAAAATTTCACCATGAGGCAATGAAGAGAAGGAATGTGTATATGGAATGTATACCACCAAAAAAATCAATATGAATTTATATATATGAATTTGGCAACCTTTTCCCGTATATTCCAAATATATTTTGACTTGTATCGATTTCTCGCACAATAATATATTTTAGCGGAGTGGTGCTAAAGAAGAAATTATTCTCCACCTATTTTTACTATAAGCTCTAGAAGAAAAGAAATTTGTATAAATAATAAATACCAAGAAAAAATCGACATTAATTTCAATTTACAAATTATGATGCATTTTTTGGGAAATTTTATAGTTTTTTTAGTAAGACCAGTATTAACGCGATCTCAACGGACAAAAATAGTCTAAAATACAATATATTAGATATCTTTGAACGAAAAATGTACAAATATTATATATCATAAAATCCAAATCCATATTATATTCGATATATTAAGGAATATAAACAACATTTTCTAAGAAATTTCTTAAGAGATTTTCGAATTATATCTATTTGACCCTCAATACTCGTATTTTGGTAGGTGATCTTAAAGGAAAACTTATTTCTGACAAATTTTCACCTCGAGTCCTTGAAGAAAATAAATTTGTATATAAAATATATACCAAGAAAAAACTATTATTAAATTTGACATAACAATTCCCCAGTTTTTTTCTGTTCATCTGACATGTATTCCGATTTGTGTCGTTATCTCTCACAATACTTCATTTTAGGTTGGTTGTACTAAAGGAAAAACTATTCTAAACCAAATTTCAATATAAGTTTCTGAATAAAGGAAATTTGTATAAATAATATGTACCAAGAAAAAAATCCACATTAAATTCTATCTACAAAAAATGCTACACTTTTGGTAATTTCATAGTTGTTGTCGAAAAGGGCTAATTTTTCCAGGAGAACTATAATTTATGAACATGGTCTCAAAGAATAAAATGTTCCTGACAAAATTTCGTTGTTACCCTCGGAACAAAAGAAATGTGTGTCTCTAACCGATAGCCCTTAACGAGCCACCTTTTTTTAATATTAAATTCAATTTGCAAGTTATTTTTAAAATTTCGTAGTTGTTTTCGAAATGGGCCATTTTTTCCCAGAGAACTATAATTTAGGAACTTGCTCTCAAAGTATAAAATGTTCCCCATAAAATTTCATTGGAATCCTCCACACTAAAAAAATTGTATCTTTAACCCATGTCCAACATTTTTTCAATATTAAAAGCAACTTATAAGTTATGCAGCATTTTTGGTTAATTTCATAGTTGTTTTCGAAAAGGGATAATTTTTCCAGGAGGACTATAATTTAGGAACATGGTCTCAAAGAATAAAATGTTCCTTACAAAATTTCGTTGTAACCCTCCCAACAAAAGAAATGTGCATCTCTAACCGATAATCCTTGATGAGGCACCTTTTTTCTATATTTAATTCAACTTACAAATTATGCAGCATTTTTGGGTAATTTCATATTTGTTTTCTAGAAGGCCCAATTTTTTCCAGAAAACCTTAATTTAGGGACATGGCCTCAAGAAAAAAATGTTCCTTATAAAATTTCGTTGCAACCCTCGAACAAAAGAAATGTGTATATCTAACCGATACCCCTTAATGAGCCACCTTTTTTCAATTTTTAATTCAATTTACAAGTCATGCAGCATTTTGGGCCATTTCAAAGTTGTTTTCGAAAAGGGCTAATTTTTCCAGAAGAACTATAATTTAGAGGCATGATGTCAAAGAATAAAATGTTCCTGACAAAAATTCGTTGCTACCCTCGGAACAAAAGAAAAGTGTATCTCTAACCGATACCCCTTAATTATACCCTTTTTCAATATTAGATTCAACGTATGCAGCATTTTTGGGTAATTTCATAGTTGTTTTCGAAAAGGCCCAATTTTTCACTGAAAACCTTAATTTAGGAACATGGTCTCAAAGAATAAAATGTTCCTTACAAAATTTCGTCGTAACTCTCCGCACAAAAGAAAGCGATACCCTTTAACGAGCCACCTTTTTCAATATTCAAATCAACTTAAAAATTATGCCGTTCTTTCCGTACTTGTTTTTTAAAACCCCCAATTTTCAACGGAAAACTATAATTTAGGGACTTGGTCTCAGAGAATAAATTATTCCTGACAAAATTTCGAGGTACCCCTCCGCATAAGAGATATGTGTATCTTTAACCGATATCCCTTAATCAGCCGTCTTTTTCCTATATTAAATTCTAGTTATGCAGAATTTGTTTGTCATTTCGTACTGGTTGTTGAAAATGGCCAATTTTTTCCCAACAAACTTAAATTTATGGTCATGATCTCAAAGAATAACATATTCCTCATAAAATTTCATTGGAACCCTCCACACAAAAGAAATCTGTACCTCTAAAAAATACCCCTTTAATGAACCTTTTTATTATCCCAAATTAAAACACATTAATTTGTTTTTTTTTTGCGTTTTTCTTAGTAGAAGTTAGTATTTATTATATCAGATAAATGTCATTATATATTGTAGTTGTTGTATGCGTATTTATCGTATTATAATAAATTGTAATCCATTGTCGTTTCGTGATGTCGGGGGAAATTTCCAATTTTCCCACACTGTTACACAAAACATCAATGGGATGGGGGGGTTGTTGGTGGTGGTGTTTGAGTGGATCCAGTCGGATCCCCACTTTGATGATTTTTTTTTTATTTTCGTCATCTTTGTTGTTGCTGCATTGGATCTGATGTTGTTTGATCATTTGCAAAATCATTGGGTGTGTCTTTCGTTTTTTTTTGTATTATGCTTAACCTCCCTAAGCATTTACACCATTTGCCCTCTTCCTTGCCCAAAATAAAGAACCCCAAAAAAGTAAGAAGTGGCAAAGACCTAGATGTCGTTGTTAAACGGTCTTAATGCATAGCGTAAAAACCATATCCACGAGCTTTACTTCTCGAGTGCAGGTTATAAGTGATTTCATACGGGTATAAATGTTGGGAAATGGCTTAAACACGACCAAAGATGTTGTTATGGTACTTCGACCCTCTTCTTTTCCGGGGGGTTATCTTGGGGGGGAAAGGAGAAAATGCTGCACAGGGGGAGGGGGTTTTCAAGTTTTTTTTTGTATTATGACACATCTCTTGTGGAATGTTCATCATCTTAATATCTAAAATCGTTTTGTCTATAATTGTAGATTTTTTTCTTTTGGTAGAGGAGTGGAGATTTCCTTTCCTCGGCTTCCTGATGACTTATAAGCAACAACCCAAGACTACCTGCCTTGTTATGCTATAACGCGAACATAACATTTCTTGAGATGTTATTAAGAAAAGACAAGTAGTTGAGATTGCTGTTATGTTACCAGAAATGGAGAAGAGGAAAATATGCCTCCAACCCCTCTGACCAGTTTCTTTACAATTTAGTACAATTATCGTATGGTTTGTCATCAAATCACTTACAAGCTATGGGGGTTTTGTTTATAATATTTATGGTTGTGTTGTTGTTGTTGTCAACATTTTTTATATTTTTATGGGGGGGTTCTGTTATGGATTATTTCATTTCATTTCATCTTCATGTTATTGGTTTCTTTCTTTTTTTTGTAGTTTTATAGGTTATGTTTGTCAAGTATTATTTTGTTTATCGTGCAATTGCGGTCATATGCTTGTACCACATTACTAAAATCTAATAATAATAATAATATATAATAATAATAATAATATGTATGTATATATATGAAATTTTTCTTATCAGTTTTGTTGTGTTTCTTGTTATTATTTTTTGTTTTTTAAGATATACTAATCAAATCGTTTTCAATAATATTATAATAATATTTTTTTTTTTATAATTATTAAATAATTTTGTTAGTGTAAATAGGAACATGTGGATTGACATTGAATTGTCTTTTGAATTCCACTTCATTTCATATGTTTTGTTTTTATTATTATTTTAATTTTATTTTTAATTTTGTTGCAATATTATTAAATAAACATTTCATGTATGTTTTTGTATTTGTTTGTTATGCATCATCATGGGGGAGTTTTTTTATTTAAAAGTTTTATATCATCTCAAAACTTTTTAATATATATATATATATTTTTTTTTTTTTGATTTTTTTTGTGGTTATTTTAAAATTTTTTTTGTTATATTTTCTTTTTTTGTTAGGTTATGTCTTGTCACTTCATCTAATTTTCTAAGATTAATCATTCATATCATCTAAGTTGAGAAAGTTTTGAATGTTTTTCAACTTTTCATGTTCATTGTGTTTTCATATTTATTATTATTATTAATAAAGTTAAGAAACAAAGTCCCGCCCAGGGTCATGTTGGGCGAAACTTTGTGGTTTTCGTGTTTGATATTTTTTTTTTGTTGTTGTGTGGAAATATCAAGGTTTTGAATGTGGATTTATTCATTGAAAAGTATGTGTTAATATTCGGTCAAAGTCTGGTTAAAATTATCTCTGGAACGGTAAGTCCGGTTAAGGCAATCCAGGGCCAAATCGAGGCCTGGATTGTGTCAAATCTGGTGGAAAATTGTAAATAATATAATTATCTCTCAAGGAAGCTTGGGGACATTTTAAACTGATCAGGAATAAAATAACCCAAAGCTTCCTAAGTCAAAATAATAGCAAAAAAAAATATTTAAACAGGATTTCGTATTTTTTTGAGGGTGGCTGTTTGAAGCCAGCATCATCACAAAATCCTGGGTCCTGGCCGGGTGGTTTTTCTTTTGTTTTTTCGTCTTTTAAATATTAATTTTTTTAATATTTTTTTTTTTTTTTGCTTACATAACTAAGTTTTTTGTTTGTTTTGTTGTTTTTTTTTTTTTTTTTTGTATTATATATCATAATTCCAAAAATTATGAAGCGAGGTTTTGAGTTATGCGAGTTTGTTTTCAAGGTTTTACCAAATTTTGTTGCATTACTTTTGTGTTATTTTTTTTCTTTAATAATTTGATTTATAATTTTTGTTTTTTTGATGATTTTAAAATCAAGCTTATGATTTTGAGACTTTACTTAATAGATATTATCGTGAAAATCATTAGCCATTTAAACATTTGCCAAGGGTCAGTGTATCCTAAAAAATCATGCCTTCCGCGGTAAACAATTCCAAACCATGTGAACCAAAAATCATTGAGCCTTTAGACATTTTTAGCCAGTTTGTCAACCCAGTTTCGAAAACCAATAACTGTAACCATTAAATCGTTATGCATTAAACCATTTATCCATTTGCCAAGGGGTCGTGTCAACGTCGTCAGCATGCGGCCGAGGCCGAGGTTCAGGTATTATTTTAACGATAAAATTTCACCTCAGCCTCAACGCAATCTTTCATCAGCTCATCCAGTTCCTCGGTAACAGTTGGATGTTCCTTCAAATAGGCCGTTACCTCTTCAACACAAGCCGCTTCCAATGCCTTCAAATGTTCCAATGCCGATACCTTTCGTTGTCCATGTAACTTGTGCAGCAGTGTCACACTCCCACCATCCGGTGGAGCCTTGGTCAGCGGCGATATCTTCGGTTTGGGTGCAAAAACGAATGGTTTAAATACCGACTCACTTGTATTCGGAGTAGCCGTAAACCAATGCGATGAAATGCCATTCTTGGAGAGTACAAAGACCGATGCCGAACGTGATGATTCTTCCTTGGCTGCCGAACGTAAAGTCTCAAACATATCCGTTACCGTAAATGTCCCGTCGTCGGGTGGTTTATCACCACACCATTTCGTCGAGGCCGTGGGGGTGCTATCAAAGGCCGCAGCGAAATCAATTTCACCCTGGAAAAGAGGAGGTAAGAAATTGGATTAATAATGGGATTTTATTTCACAACTTTTTTTAGGATCAAAGATGGATTTTTTTTTTGATTTTTTCAAAATATTCTGAAAACCACTTCAGAGAAGAACTGGAAGGAGTCGTATTTCGACAAATTTGCTGAAACAGCAAATTCTTTAAAGATCAAATTCAGGGAGGCAGCCAGGTCGTTTTTAGAGGAATTAAAGGTCTAAATTAAGTTTTTATAGACGAACTGAAAGGAGTCTTCCTAGACTAGATCTGGATGGAGTATTTCTAGTCAAACTGGAAGGAGACTTTATATATGAACTGAGGAAGTATAAACAAGATGGGAGAGGCTAGGTGAAAAGTTTGTTGGCGATTGAATGGAAGAGAGTCTTTCTTGAATGGAAGAGTTGACGGGAGTCTTTTTGGACGAGTTGGATGGAGTCTTCTAGAAGACCTGGAGGGAGTATTTCTAAACGATCTGGATGGAGTCTATTCTGGCGGTCTAAGGAGGTTTTTCTAGACAAACTGAAGGAAGTCTTTCTAGACGAGTTGTAGAGAGTCTTTCTAGCTGAGCTGAAGGGAGTCTTCCTTGGGGGTGTGAAAGAAGTCTTTCTAGACGAACTAAAGCCGACCTAGACGAGCTGGAGGAAGTCTTTCTAGACGAGCTGGAAGTAGTCTTTTTTAGACGAATTGTAGAAAATCTTTTTAGGCTGTCTGAAGAAAGTCTTTCCAGACGAACTGAATGGAGTCTTTTTAGGCGATCTGAAGGATGTCATTCTAACCGAACTGAAGCCGTCCTTCTAGACGAGTTGGAGGGAGTCTTTCTAACAGGGCAAGTCATTCTAGAAGAGCTAAGGGCAGCCCTTCTAGACGAGTTTGAAGGAGACTTTCTAAGCGAGTTAAATGGTGTCTCTATAGGTGAGCTGGAGGCTGTACCCCACTAGACGAGTTGTTGAAGGTACCTCTAGACGAGATGTAAAAAGTCCAAAAAGAACAATTTGGAGACAGTCACTCTAGACGAATTAGACGAGCTCAAATGGAATCTCATTAGACGAACTGAAGAAGCAGGGCTCTATAGACGAACTGAAGAAGGGCGGCTCTATAAACGAACTGAAGTAGGAATTTTCTATAAACGAACTGAAGAAGGGCGTCCCTATGGACGAGTTGAAGAGGGGAGGCTCCATAGATGAGCCGAAGAAGGGAGTCTCTACAGACGAACTGAAGATGGGAGACTTCATTGACGAGGTAAAAAAGAGAGACTCTATAGACGAACTGAAGAAGGGAGACTATAGACGAGCTGAAGAAGGGCGGTTCTATAGACGAGCTGAAAATGAGTCTCTATTAACGAGTTGGTCTCCATAGAGGAACTGATGGAGCCTCTACAGACGAGCAGAAGAAGGGAGTCTCTATAGATGAGCTCAAAAAGGGCGGCTCTATAGACGAGCTGAAAAAAAGGGGGGGGGGGGGTCTATAGACGAGCTGAAGAAGGGCGGCTCTATAGACGAGCTGAAGTAGGGCGGCTCTAAAGACAAGCTAAAGGAGGCGGCTCTATAGACAAGCTGAAGAAGGTGGTTCTATAGACGAGCTGAAAAGGTGAGTCTCTATAGATGAGCTGAAAAGGCAAGCTAAAGAAGGAAGTCTATATAGACGAGCTGAAGAGGGGAGTCTCTATAGAGGAGCTAAAGAAGGGAGTCTCTATAGACGAGCTGAAGAAGGTGGCTCTATAGACGAGCTGAAGAAGGGAGTCTCTATAGACGAGCTGAAGAAGGGAGTCTCTATAGACGAGCTGAAGAAGGGAGTCTCTATAGACGAGCTGAAGAAGGGAGTCTCTATAGACGAGCTGAAGAAGGGAGTCTCTATAGACGAGCTGAAGAAGGGAGTCTCTATAGACGAGCTGAAGAAGGGAGTCTCTATAGACGAGCTGAAGAAGGGAGTCTCTATAGACGAGCTGAAGAAGGGAGTCTCTATAGACGAGCTGAAGAAGGGAGTCTCTATAGACGAGCTAAAGAAGGCGGCTCTATAGAGAAGCTGAAGTAGGGGGTCCATATGTTCCAAAATTATTCTAAAATAAAAAAATAAAAATTTTGAATTTCTGGGAAGTGAATTTCAAAAATGGTATTTCGAACACATTTTTAAATCTAAGCTGATTGATATCTTTGATTCCAGCTAAAGAAAGTCGACCCTATAGAAGAGCTGGAGAGACTCCAAATGAGTTAGAGCAAGTCATTTCCAACGAGTTGGGGTCTTTCCAGACCGTCTGAAAGGTGGCTTTTGTAGACGAGCAGAAGGGAGACTTTCTATACAAAGGGGGGGGGGCGTCCTTACAGACGAAATGGAGAGAATCTTCATAAACGAGTTGATGCCAGACTCACTGATTAGAGACTGATATAAAACTTGAGAGACAAACTGATAGGCGAAACGAGTATTTGTAGAGAACTTGAAAGTATTTAGACCATCCGAAGGTAGCCTATCTAGATAGGAGACTTTCCAGACATGTAAAAAGTTATCCTTGTAGGCCAGTTGAAAGGGGTCGAATTTAGATGGGAAAACATGATTCAAATACGGTACTAAAATTGAAAAAAAAATAATAATATTAAATTTCTGGGAAGTGGTTTTCAAAATTGAAATACATCTTTGATTCTAAAAAATCAAACTTTTTCGTAATTGAAAAACAATCTCTATATAGAAAAAAATATATATGTACACAAAAAGAATATCAGATCACAAATTCAGATCTTTAAAATGGCATTTAACAATGTCCACACAACATAGTAGCAAAATATTTTTTTTCATTCAGGAGCCCTTGGCTTAGAAATCTGTCACTTAGTTTCAATTTACAAAAAAGGGGAGGAAGCATTTTACAAAATTTCTTTCTATCACTTTTTTTCTACATAGAAAATGTCCTCCGCATACGAAAACAGGTAAAGCTCGAATTCAGTCGGTGAAAATTTTTCTAAATAGATTTTTGAGTTTCTGAGAGGGAATGAAGACGAAAAAGTGTCTTCATCTTCTTCCTTAGCCATATGCTCGAAAATTGCTCTTTGAAAAATTTCACCATCTGAATATCGGCAATTAACAAAAAAAAAAAAAACATAACGTACCCAAATTCAATTCTTTTTTTTTTTCATGGTGGAACTGCTCACAACCAAATACACAATTTTCCAGATTCCAAAAGCAAATTTTTCTTTTCGATTTAAATAACAATTGAATTGTTTGTTTTCTTTTCCTTCCAATAATCATTGTCCATTGTTCATTAGCCGAGTGTTGTCTACAGGATGTTATTATGTATATGAAGGCATTTTGTTGTTGTTATTTTTTTTTTCGTTTTTTAATATTGCATTGGCTCATCCGCCTAAATGTGGACATAGAAAAACACACACATATGAGTAGTGTTGATATTTTTTGGGAATGATATACTAAATCTAATGGAATGAATCTTAAAATAACCTATTGACTTTGTCTTAAACACTAAGATATGGAAGATACTTATATAAATTTAGGAAAATTTATGGCGACATGAATTGTTTTCAGGCCTGAAAAACTGACACGGAATGCACTGAACGTATACAGAATTCATTATATACCGGCTGACGGTGACAGAAGTCCTGAGAAGTCTATGGGTTTCTAACTAAAAAAGATGCAGCATTTATTTTTGGATGGCTGACGTTCAGAGAGACTACTACAGACTTATAGATTTGATGATCATACAATTAAATTATTTGACATTTATATCTATCTGAATTTGAACAGAAAATCAGTTGTATAACAGTTTAAGAAAAACTGTTATACTGTAGAAAATCCTTCACATGAAGGCCAAAAATTATGTTGCACACAAATTATATATCAACGAGTTTTTTATATAGAAAAGTTAAGGGCATGGGTTATTATATAGACGATCTGAATTGCATCATCAAGTAGAATATATGGAAGTCCTATATAAGCAAAATAATAACCAGAATGTCAAGATAAACTGATAATTTTTAAACAAGTTACTTGGATAGCTCACAAATTACATATTTCTTTGTCTCTTATACTAAAAAAAAACGAGTATAACAGTTTTACAAAACTGTTATACTCAAGAAAATTCACCCGATTTTGCAGTAAATTTCATAACTATTCATGTATTTCTAAAATTAAAGGGGAAATAAATAAAAACTGAAACCCCCAACAAACACACTACCAAGAAGGCCAGAAAGTTACATACGATTTAAGAGTTAGTGATTCTTTTAGAGACAAGCTGAAGCCAACCCAGTTGTTCACAGGCCAGAATTAATAGTCAGAACGGCTAAAGGCTCAAATAATGTTTATCCATGTTGTTTTTAAAACCACGCAAATGCCGTTTTCTTCATTTTTATATCGAAAAACCTTGTATAACAGTTCTGTTAAACTGTTATACTCAAGAAAATTCACCAAATTTTACAGCAAAAATCATAAGAAATTTAAGTATATCGCAAATTTAATTGGAAATAAAGTGTATGCCACTTAAAAAAAACTGTTATACTGCCAGAAACTAAAACTAAATAAAATGAATGGATATAAAAACAATTTGGATGTGGAAAAATATTGCTCGCATCCCTTAGGATAATGAAGAAATATGTTTTTGGGATGTGGGAAACATATTTACAAACTTATCAGGATAACGATAAAAATATAATCCGAGTTATTTGGGCATCGAAATAAATTATCCGCATTATTTGGATGGTGAAAATCTATCATGTTATTTGGATAATGAAAATTTATTGTCCCCATTATTCGAATAGGGTAAAAATGTCTGGATAATGAAAATGAATTACCCCCGTTAACCGAACAACGAAAAAACATTCTCCACGTTATTAAGATAACGAAAAAATATTATCCACTTTAACCGGATAACAAAATATATACTACACATTATTTGGATAATGAAAAAATATTATCTCCAAAATTCGAACAGGGTAAAAACATTATCAAAGTTATCCAGATAACAAAAAAAAATAATATCCACTTTATCTGGATGTGG